CCAGCAAGGACAAAACTAGTCAAGCACTTATTTTTTTCTCCTTTGGACCTCACTCACTGTCTTCAGGCACAAAAAAAAGCATTAGTGTCACTGAGACAGATGTGAGACATACTCTCCCACAAGAAAAGCCTTTCCCACTCTTCAGCTAGCATACTCAAAAGATGTAGTCAAGAATGTAGAAACACTGTGTTTCAAACTCTGACTATTTCAGTCCTTGAATATCTCAGTCTATTATGAGTTTTGTTTTTCTCACTCTTACACACAAGTGAACTGGGGGATTGCTTCTTGCACTGCCAGGAAACAGCTCTCACCCATGGCAGGGTATGAACTACAAATCAGCAGTAACAAAGGTCTTGTATTGGACTTATGTGAACACTTAATAGTTTGTAAGTGCTTTGAATTGGGAACTATAGAACACCTGAAGAGCTATCCACCTACCAAAGTCCACCCAGTCATTCACAATCCTGATATGATTTAGAAGTAATTTCAGAAAGATTACACATCTGAAATAAAATTTTAAGTGAATCTAGTAGTAAGGACTTTATAAGCTGCAGCTTCTTGACATTTTTTCAAGCATCTGAAGTGTCTTTTATTAGATGCAGAGCTAACACCCAGAGTTGTTTGGGTTTTTTTCCTTTTTAAGAGTCTTTGAGTAATAGTGCCAGGGAAGGATTTAAAGTTAGATTACCAAATGTTACTTTTTAGAAGGTAAACAACCTTCTAATGTATTTCAAGTTTAAATGTAGCTTAGTTCAAAGGCTGATAAAGATTATGATATAAACAGATCAAATCCTAACACACAGAATAATTGCTGTTTAATGCATGTGTTGCAGAAGTGCTTTAGAGACTTAATCAAAAATAGGACTGTAATACTCTCATAATATCCTATCTTTAAAAGTTACAAGCAATAGATTGTTAAATATTAAGGAGATAAAAATGAAGAAATAATTGGTTAGGGTTAGGGGGCAAATAGGTTGTATTTATACATTGACTTTAATAGAAAAAAACAGTATTTGACTGGCTAAATTGGATCAACAATGACCACAACAGTGAACACATTTAAAAGGATATTTTTAGTTTAAGTTTTATCAAGCAAGATCTTGACATTCATATGCAAATGATGGAATTCGGGGCCTTTTTTTCCCAGGATTTCCTTATTTTTATCTCTGAGAAGATAAAAAAGCTGGGAATCACAAAGTGCTTGTACTAGGAAAACAGCATTTCTGTGTGAAGACCCATATCGGGGTACCTTACAGCCAGTAATATTATTTTCCTCTGTACTGTTGATATGAGGATGGAAAATTATTCATATTCCTGTCTATCTAGAAAAATATTTAAAGATGCCTGTTTTTAAATGTATTCAGTGCTGGTTTTATATCTTTAGTATATAGAGTAATTGCTGTGATTTTATAACAATTATTAGCTAGTTGTAATATAACAGAAAACTCGTTGCATGTTAGAACATCACTTGCTTATTTTTTAGATGTTGAAATTGAAGATTCTTTCCTGAGTTGAGCCATAATAAATGCAGCATATGTGCATTGTATCACTAATTGCCATGTTTACGTAAAGCTAGATGTACCATATTTATCTTGATTTAAGATAGGAAGATCCCAGGTGACCTTCCTTGCTGTTCCCATGCTTAAACAATGCACAGAAAATGGCCTGGGATCTAATTTTTCCTCCTTCCTGAATTGTGGTCATGACAACCATCTGTACAAAGATAAGCTTTACAGTATTGTCTTGTTCAGGGGTATCATTTTGACATTATGTGATATTGTGTGATACAATAAGCTGATGGAAAATAATACTGTGCAGCAGTTGGTGCTCTCACCTACATGCACTGCTGAATTTTAGTTGTGGTTTGGGTTGCTTGTTTAATATTTATGTGGCCATTGTGGCAAGGGAAGTATATAAATATAATATCAGCCTTTAAAATGTATGTTAACATTTGCAAGAAGGGGCCCTGGCTAAGAGAAATGCTGCTGCTTCTGACTCTTCAAATTTATCCATCTTTGCTGGGTACACAGAATTTACATTTTGAATATGAAATTTTAGTTTTCACTGCTGTGCCAGCAAGGCAAGATGCAATTTTAAATAGCCAAGATTTTGCTTTTGCATGTCTTTATGGCAACAGCTTGCTTAACAGTACATGGACAAATACAGACAGAGGTAAAGACAATGCCAGGTTGTTATTCATTATCTCCTCTCTGAAATACAGCTATTTATGAGATAACATGGAATTAAGCTAAACAGATCTGTTAGTATTATTGACATGAGAAAACTCTCGCTGACATTGGAGGAAAGGTAATTTAATTTGGCTTTGGTCACTCTGTCTCTCAAAGTACATACATAAAATGGCTGTAACTGAAAACGCAACAGGAGACACAACTGTATGTTCAAATTCTTTTGTGGTATTAGTGGAAAACATAAAAGAAAGTTCATGCTGAAGTCATGACATTCAGTCTTGCCATATGTTAACAGCAGAAATAACTGGCTGTTTTACTATTAGCACCGAATAGAAAGCAGAGAGAGATTCTAGCTTGCTGCTAATCAGATTAATCATAGATGTTTCATAGTACATTAATGAGAACTGCAGAAAGAGTGTTTAAATTGTTTGTATTCTATTGCTGTTGATTTCTTTGCCCCACTTTGCTGGTGATTAACTAACAAGGATCCTCCTTCTGCACTAACTACAGGTTTGCCGATTTGAGCACTTTAACTTGCAAACCATTTGTAAAGGATCATTTGCACATTTCCAGTAAGACCCCCAACCCTGTAATAACTTGGTCAGGTTGGGCAAAGGAACAATGAAAGAGCCTCTTCCAGTGCCCATTCCTCCCAGAGCACAACTTGTTGAACTTGAAGCCCTGTGTCTTCACTGCTGTATACATACATATACCTCAGCTATTAGATTTACTTGGTATAGCAGATGGGTCAGGTGGGTAGGAGTTACACAGTCACTGCTCTAGAAGGGAGTTTCCTGTCAGATGGAGATTCAGTAACTGCTAAACTGATTAAAAGAAGGATGCTATAGCCTGAGATACTAAATTAAGGTAGTAGAAAGTGAGGTGTGTATGTGGGAGGTGTATGGTTTTGAGCTTTTCTAGCTATTGGTAATAGTTGGCCTTAAAGGAGACAGAATTTAAAATGGTTTTATTTGGTGTTTGGCTATGAGCTCATATTGTACTTCTTGGATATTATGGGAGGAAAATGCTATATGGAATTGAGGTTGTGGGAAAATACTGATAGTCTGCTGATGGTAGTAATAAAGCTAATGGTGACAAGTTTCAAGAGCTACATTCTGGGTGAACTATCACAATGCCTCTAATAGCAAACTAATCAGTTTATCAAACCCTAATTGTTCTTGTAAAATGTAGGGATTCCTAGTTTCTTTTCATACTGCCCTCAGATAATGCTATTCCAGCAGCAGCTCCTAGCGTTGTGACAAGTCATGCTTTATGGATACAATAGGGCTATGCAGCTCTACAATTATGTAGTGGGGTAATGCAAGCTGCTTTGGGGAACAGTATCCTAGGGACAAGGAGGTTAGAACTAGAATGTGTCTTGCTGGTCAGGAACTTTTGGGTTGGGTTGGCTTGGTACTGGTGGTGAAACAATTTGCAATATAGGGGAGCGATTCTACTTTGACTTAAGTCACTTCAAAGATACACCAGGACAAGACTGCAAGTATGACACTAAAAACATTGTGAAGGAGCCAATTATTGTGTTTATTCTCTTGTTGACTACAAAGTTTGTTTTTTAACTTAGCCAAACACTGGTTCACACACCACGGTTGTCATTAAAAAACTGATTGAGTGTAATTCTTCTGCTGGGGACCCTCTGCCTTTAGCACTAACACAAGTACCAGACTGCTGTTCCCAGCACGTGAAAATCCACAGAATAGCCAGGGGTTTTCGTGTAGTGCAAGTGTGGTTTCAGCAGTAGACCAAGATAATTACTGAACGGTGTCTAGTTAGTGCATCCAGGGGAAAACTGTATCCCCTAAAACCTGTGGAAATTTCCATCATAAATACTGCTTTATTCTGATATAACTAGGAGTTGGCCAGACTAAACCATACTCTGGTGCCTTGCCACCCTTCCTGGGATGGCAAATTGATCCCATGTCTTACTTTCATTGGCTTATTCCGGGAAGGGAGATGGCGTTGAGAAGTCGGGGAAAAAACGAGCAGGACAGAGCCAGGAACTGGGAATTCCACCATCCAGGCCACCAAATCCAGCCTCTCCCCGAGCGCTTGGTACACCAATTGGTGAAATCTGACCCTGTGAGTACTTGTATTTCAGTACTGCACAGAGACCACAGCGTGCCGAGTAACTTACAGGGTTGGGGTAAGCTTTGTAACCTGTGTGTGGCACCACTGCACCAGGCAACTGCTGCGTTTAACCATGGCGACTGTCATCTAAGAAAATATTCACAAAATTAAGCTCTTCCCAGTGAAAGCGACAAGCGTATTTCGCTTAGCTAATACAGCTTACTGCTTACAAGAGAAACCGAGGTTTCGCTCGCCCCCTAAAATGGCAGCATGCCCTTGACTCGCTGCAGAACACTCTGTTCCGTTCCACCCGTTACCCTGTGCCCTTGGCACCAACGAACTGCCGCAGCAGCCCGTAATGCCTAGGCCGGGCCTCACTGGTCACCCGGTCATGCAGCCGGACGCCCTTCCTGCACTCCCCGGATCATTTTAGACGCCGGGGCCACCCCGCATTGCTACGGGACACTCTGATCACCCCCAACCCGGGCGAAAACCCCTAAAACGAACGGCACAGCACACCGCGCCTCTTAGCACTGCCGCAACGAGTCCCGGCAGCGGAGCAGGGATCTCTCCTTCGGCAAGCGCGCTGAAAGTAGTCCTCCTTTGTTCATCAGCGGCAAACGTTCGTATTCACCGGTGTCCTTCCGCCGCGGCGCCGTCCAGCCCCGCCCCCTGGCCCAGGCGCCGCTGTCGGCGCAGGCGGGGCGCGCTGGGGCGGGGCCGCGGCCTTTTGTGCTCCCAGCATGCACCAGCCTCTCCTCCGCGGGAAACAAAAATGGCGAGCGGCTGCGGTGGAGCCGGGCTGTCCGTGAGGCGGGTCTGACCCCTCCCCCGCCGCCTTGCCGCCGCTGCGTCGTGGGGGCCGCGCTCGGGGGGTCCCGCCGCGCACCCAGGGCCCGGCCTCCCCGGGGGGAAGGCTTCTGAGCTCGCCAGTTTCCCTGTATGAGGCGGTTGGCACCACTGGAGAGACCGAATGAGGTGAGGTGAGGGGGGCGGGCCGCTGCGGCGGGGGGGGGTAAGGAGGGAGGAAGGAGGGGCGGCCGGGCCTTGCGGGGGGGTGATGAGTCGGGGGGGCCGGGCGCGCCCCATAGTTCGGGCCGCCGGTGCCGCATCCCCCCTCCCTTCCGTGGAGGCCGCGCCACCCGCCGGGGAAGGGGTGCGAGGGGCCCCGCTCCGGCGTGGGGGGCCCCGGGGGCCTTTGGGGGAGGGGGAGGAAGCTCTCTCTGGCGGGCGCTGGCGAGCGAGTGAGGGGTCAGCGGTGCCGCTCGGTGACCAAAACAAAGGGAGCGGAGGCTGCCGGCCGGCTGAGGGGGTCCGCGGGGTGCTGCCGTCGTGAGTCACGGCGAGGTTTGCGGCAGCACTAGCTTTATCTTCTCCTTTAAGGCTATCGTCCGAGCGGGCTGTGTTCGCTCGAGTGCGGAGAGAGCAACACAAAAGAGGTGGTTGGTGGTGGTCGCTGGTAACTTTGTTTTTGTTTTCTCTTTTTTGTTTGCGCCGCCTCGTAGTCTCTGTCAACCTAGACAGTTCGAAGGTGCTCAAGAAGCTTGTAGTTTTGGTCTGCTGAAAGGATGTGCAGCAACGCGTTTTCTTTCCGTTGGTATTTGAATTCTATAGGAATGCAAGAATGGGCTGACACTTTTGTCAGTCAAATAAAATAATATGGTAGCGTGTTGGATGCTCCGGACACTGATATTAGTGTTGAAATTCTAAGGGGTATCATCCATCCGTGAAGTATCTGGGTGCTGTTTAAAGGAGAGGGCCTGCACAATTAAATGAAATGGCCTGCCAGGAGAGCAGTATGGCATTATGCTTGTTTCTTGGATTTCTGATAGTTAGAACCTGCTCATGGCTTTATAAGGTCAAACTTAGTATTGGATGATAGTATGATTTTTTTTTTCCTGACTTAGTATAAGGGAAACCGATCCATGCTTTATACCGAAACTGTCAAAAGCATGGGATAATAGGAAAAAAGTTTTCTTGTTGTGTTTTTTTTTGTCTGTAACCAATTTGATAAAAGTTAGCAAGTTAATGTGCATCCCTTTCTTGAGAACTCAAATTACAACTCTTTTGAAAGCGTTTGAGATTAAAAGAAGAAAAAAGCTTAGTTCCTGTAGTGTTAGAATACAGCCTAAAAGGTTCATAGCTTTTAAATGGAAGGAGAATAAAGGGAATCAAAATATGAAAGAAGGTGCATAATAAAGTAGAGAAAGGGAGAAGGATCTTTGCAAGGAGCTACAAGCCTGTGAAATGTGGATCTGTACTGAGACTATAAGGTAGTAATGTTTTCAACAGTTGACTTATTTTGTCAGATACAGATGTGTCTTCTCAACAGCTCTGCTTCCCTGCTCTAGAAAGAATTGTAAATCGGATGTAGATCCTTCTCAAACTTGGCTTTATATGATTAGTCGCCAGTTGTTTTTGGGGGGGGTTTGTTCCAAATAGGTGAAAGAGACTTGCACTGGTAGTTAGTATTAAGGGTGACCTTGGATATGGTAATGTCTCTCCTTCGCTGCATTAGCAAATCAGCTAAAGCTTATGAGAAAAATGGCTGTAACATGTAAGCTGGTGGTCATTTCCTATTGGAGAGTGAATTTCTGTATTCCCTGGAGAGAAATGTGAATGAATATAGTACTAGAAGCACCAGAATGGCCTTAAAGCATGTTTTGTGCTCTTCATGCTAGTTGTGGAGGAAAAACTTGGAGGGAAGAAACACAAGTGACTAGAGGCTGGTATGAATCTTCTCTTGGTTTGTGAATTGGCTGTACTTTCTGTGTCACTGACTTCTGAGCTAGCTGCGGAGTTGGTTTCACCTTCTTTACAGGCCTTCTCTGCAGGAAATGGAGGGGAAGTGTGTCTTTGAAACACATCAGAAGAAGGATTATAAACCACAGGGATTGCTGGAGGGTCCTTGGGCAGGGTAATACCTGTTACTGAAGGCACTGAAACTAGTTGAAATACGTGCTTTTAACTATCTTTGTTTCAAGCTGATGTTCTCTTCCTAGGAGGTATAATCTCTGTGGAGGAATGAAATGAAGAGGCTTAGTTTTCTTTGAGAGAAAGAGAGCTAATGATGAGAGCGTTCCTGATCAGTCTGAACATATTTCATTCACTTGGAGGATAATACTGGATTAATTTTTATTTCTTTCTGTGGAGTGCTTATGAAGGGTGATACTCTTCTAGACTAGCCTTAAAGAAAGGTATTTATCTTTATGGGGTTTTTATTGCTTATGAAATCGTCGTGTCGTTCCCCCCCCCCGTTCCAGTCAGCATGTTCTGTTCTTTTTCACCGCTTGGGTGCATGCTCATACTGTATTACCTTCCGTATATTGCTGGGCATCCCTTAGTTGGGTACTGCACAAGCCCAAAAGGTGGTTGCAGTGTTCAAGGAAGTGCTGAGTATGCACTTAAGCATAGTTCTGACCTGAAAAGGTGTGTTGTGACTTGAACCATTGTTCTCTCCCCTTTGCCTCTCTGTGTACAAACATGATTGATCCCAAACAAATGGCTCTTAAGAGTACAGGGCTGCCCTGTCCTATTTCTCTATTTATTAGATTTGTAGGGAAAGGTGTTATTCTGTAACCATCTTTTAAAGACTGGTCCAGTGGAATGCGTCCCTGCCTGTGGCAGGGGGTTGGAACTGTTTGAGCTTTAATGTCCTGTCCAACCCAAACCATTATATGGTATATGTGTTATCTCTTGTCCTCCTGCCACGCAGTACTGCAAAGAGGCTAACTACATCTCACAGGAGCCTCCTCTCACAGGGCAAGTGCTTCTGTCCCCGACTGTTTTGGTAGCCCTCCACCAAGCTCATCTAGTTCAATGTGTTCCTTGCAACTGGCAGAACCAAACCACAGTATTCTAGATCCTGTCTAATGAGTTGTGTGTAGAAGGAAACAATCACTTCCCCTCAGTCTTCCGTCTAAAGTTCTTTCTAATGTGCAGCAGATTTATAGACCTAACTGCCGATCAGCTGAATGGGCTGCAGGGGCTCAGTTCTTATTGCCACTTTTTTTAGAAGCGAAATTTGCTACTTTTGTCAGCTAATGTGGTGGATATGCTTGTGAAAGCATACAGCTACTTAAGAAACACATTAATGAAAACATGTTATCTGATTACTAGAGAGTTCTTTAAAGTGTTTAACTAGACAGAAGAATTCAGAAGAAAAATCACAGACTCAATGTAAGGCTCTTTCAAAGGCTTAAAAAAATAAGATACCAACAAGCACTCTATTTGGGTAGTAATGCGTTGCATGAAAAATGATTGTGTTGGGTAGTGTGGTTGACTTGGTAGAGCTGAGAAGTGTAAACAAGCTACATCTTGCTGACAAGGAGCAGTTTATACGGAGTGGTTGCCCTGAGATCATTGTTAGGACAGAGTTTTTCTGCCTTAGGTGATTTTCAAGTTCTGTCCATGATGGATTTGTTAAGTGTTGTTTGCTTGAACGGCTTGTAAATTGGCTTGCTGAACATCTTTAAACAAAGATGTGAACTTGGTGCCCATGGAAACAGACAGGCTGCTTCCAAGAGCACCAGAATAATAGTGTGATGTTCTCATGGGTCTGTTCTTTACCATCCTAGGTTGTGGAGAGCAGGGGTAATCTGTAATGATTAGAGAATGTCAAATGTTATACCTATCTTCAGAAATGGCCACAAGTTCAACCCAGGGAACCACAGGCTTGTTAGGCTCATGTTGGTCTGTAGGACAGTGGTGGAATAGGTCTTCCTGGAAGATGTCAGCATATATTTTCCAAGAATAAATCGTGGCCTGACCACCTTTGGTGTTAAAAATGGCAGGATTTGTGGACCCGGGAGGAGAGGAGTGGATACCACTTAACTCCAGCAAGGCTGAAGGAAGTAGCTGATAGGAACCTCATGAAATTAAAGAGATGAAAGCCAAGTCCTGCATCTGAAGGAAGAATCTCAGGCTAAGTTTGGCTGGGGGTCAGCTTTGCAAGGTTGGCTGGGGTCTGGTAGACAGAAAGCAAGAACATGAGCCAACATTGTGTCTTGTGAGCAAAGGCAAGTTGTATCCTGGGCTGTATTAATGGGAACAGAACCAGAAGGATGAAGGGAAGTGATTATTTCCTTCCACACAAAACTCATTAGACAGTATCTAGAATACTATGGTTTGGTTCTGCCAATGCAAGGAAGACATAAAACTAGATGAGCTTGGTGGAGGGCCACCAAAACAGTCGGGGACTGGAGCACTTTTCCTGTGAGAGGAGGCTGAGGGAACCAGGTTCACTCAGCCTGGAGAATAAGGGCCTCACTGCAGCCTTCTAGCTCCTGTGAGATGCAATTAGTCTCTTCACAATACTGCATGGCAGGAGGACAAGAGATAACACACATCTTGAAATAAGAGAGATTCTGATTGGAATGGGGGGAGGAGATGGGTTTTCTTATTTTATCCCCCCCACCCCCCCCCCCCGAGGACAGTTCAGCAGAGGAAGAGGAGCCCAGGGTGTATGGCCTCTGTTGCTGGAGGCTTTCAGGGCTGACTGGATAAAGCCACCTTGTCTGGCCTCACGGCTGATGCTATGCTGAGCAGGACTACAGAATTCCTGATATTCTTTCTAACCTGAATTACTATCTTAAAAAAAGTAGAAATTAGATGATCTTGAAAATACATTTCTTATCGTCCAGCCATTACTCTTAGCTTTTCTAGACCGAGGGATGCCTAGGTTAGCATCCCTTTATCTTTCTTCTGTGTAGTTGGTAATGTGGCTTAGGCTTTTAATGACTCCAGCATACAAAATAGTGTAAAGATAACGAGCTCAAAGCTTGTAGGTGTTCTATGACATAGCACCTTGGAAGCTTAATATTAATTGGGCTGCATGAAGTAGTGTAAAAGGATAGACTAAGACTATAATCTAGAGTTGTGTTGGATCCTCTGCTTGAAAGAAATTCGTAAGCATTTGCTAATAGAATAGCTTGTTTGTGTATAATTAAACAGTGACTGTTGGAGCAAAGCTGCTGTTA